GAGATCGCGTCTAGCTGTGGCGAGCATCACCTATATCAATTGCCCCTTTTCCACGAGTTGGTGTTGTCTGATTGGTTTAATATACCAATTTCCCTCATCACGAGTTGGGATTGTCCGATTCATTCCATCCTATCTTTTATTTTCGAGTTCAAAAAAGTCGACATCAAGAAAATAAAGAAAGTCAAGAAAATCAAAGAATCAAGAAAAGGTCGTTTTCAAGAAAATCAAGAAAAGATCGTTGGAGCTGCGTACTTTGGTCATATCATCCGAGTTCGAGGGTTCTCTTCGGATTTGGATTATATCATGAAGTAGTCAGAGAATCTTTCCCATGCATCCCTCAATGTCTCATCCTCCTCTTGATCAAAGTGAGTGATCTTCTTCCTCCACTCGGCCGTCTTGGAAGGAGGACAATATCGGATCATGAACTTGTTGAGTAAATCGTCCCAAGAGGTGATGGATAGAGTCGGACGGTTGTTGAGCCATCGGAGTGCCTTCCCCGCCAAAGAATAGGGGAAAAGTCTCAATCGCATTACCTCCTCGAGGACGCCATTTATTTTCAAGCTTCCCGCTAGCTCAAGAAACCTTTGGCAAGCCCATCAAAATAGGTGTTGTTTTGAATCATCGTCATGAGAGCGGGCTTGATTTCAAAGTTGTTGGCGGCCACAGGTGGATATAAGATGGGAGATTGGATATCCGTCGCCCGTGGAGCCATGTAATGGCCCATAGTCCTTGGCTCTTCCTCGGCTCTTCGACATTTGGGTTTTGAAGCGGATTAGCCCCTCGATGTTGATTCCCCGCCATCTCAACTTCAACTTCTCCGTCAATTTCTTCAAATCTGGGACCAACTTGTTGTCCCCTCTCTTCAATTCTCCTTCTTGCCTCCACTTGCTCCCTCTCTTGAGCTAAAAGTTGGAGAGTCCGGTTGACGTCCTCGTTCAGTGGTGTTAAAGGCGCCGGATTGCTCCGGGTCATGCACCTCCCTACACACACTTAAAGAACACAACACGTCTAGCACAAGAAAACTTCACACTTAACAAAACTGACAATAAAAGCTAGATTAACACCAAACAAACTTTTCACGATAAAGGACCAAAGTTCCGCGGCAACGGTGCCAAAAACTTGACTCGCTCTGACTATCACAATAAAATCCCACCTAAGACCCAAGTATAAACCTTAGATGGGTGCAATATAGGGCAAGTATGTTTAAGTATGTTCACACAACACAATCATTCATGAATAATACCTCCACATTCACATTAAACACAACCACACACAAATCATTCAATTCATACAAACATTCACATAATTGTAGCTAGAGTTTACAAACACCCAAGTGAAAGAAGGGACTACTCCATGCTATGAGAAGGGAAAACACAAGAGAGGAAAAGGAAAACCATCAAAGAGATGCTAGCCTTGCTCCTTGTGTTGAGGAGATCCTCCTTTGGGGGAGGAAATCCCAAATCCTTGCTTGGAGATGAAACCCTAGCTTCTCCTCTTCTTTGGTTCATCACTTTATCACTCTAAAAATCTGAAGAAGAAGAAGAAGAAGAAGAAGAAGAAGAAGAAGAAGAAGAAGAAGAAGAAGAAGAAGAAGAAGAAGTTTCTCACACTAGGTGTCTCCCTTCTTCTTCCTTTCAGCTGGCCTTTTATACTGAGATCGCGGCAGGTTCACGGCTCAAGTTCACGGCCGTGAACATCAAAACACGTCCGTGAACACAGTGTACTGAACCAAAATGCAGTGCTTCACTTCTTGGGACCACGGTTTGTGGTTGCAGTTCACGATCTTAGCGACCGTGAACAGCCTTGGTGTCAGTAAGCTCAGAAACCCCTCTGAACGCGGTTCACTGGTTGTGGTTTCAGTTCATGGTCCTGGAGACCGTGAACTCCAATGGCAGACCGTGAACACAGGCTGCTTCCTCCTTTTTGCTCGGTCTTTGCTCCTTTTCTTCCAACTTTCGACTCCGGGGTTGGTTTCACTTGTTAGAATCTGAAACACACTGAAACACAAGAAACATAGCGTAAAACCGCCCCTTTTGTAGCTCAATTGCAACAAACGTCAAAGAAAAATGGAGAGAAAAAAATACAATTATTCCCGAATCAGATGACACATAATTCACTTCAACATGCAAGGACAAAGAACATCAAAACTCAAAATGGGCTGTCACTTCACTTCTCTCCCGAAAGTTGAATATCCTTTTACTAAACCTCTACCAATCGTTGAAAGAAAGTGCAACACATCTCCACTTCTCTCCAACTTGCATATCCTTTTACTAAACCTCTACCAATGCACACACTATTGAGCTCATTTCCAAACCAAACTTGAAATCAATTCACGTTTAGTTTGTGGGGGGCATCTGATTAATGTAGGACTCAACTGGAAGTTCCTCATAGAACGAGTATTATTATGTAATAGGTTAGGAGTAGTTGTATACTTGTATTAGGATTAGGTACTTACTAATTACTATATGTATTGTTTAGTAACCATTGAATTTGTTAACGACTCAACAATTTTTCCGCTCTTTTCTCTCCTTCCCCGGCTCATAGTATAAAATTGGTTAAATACACTTGTATATCCAAAACTTTTACGGCTGTGCCAATTATATCCAAATTTCCCGAAATACCACTTATATCCAATTCCTTCACATTCTTTAACGGTGTTTTTGGATATACAAGTGTATTTAACCAAAAATATATTGGGAAATGGATAGATTTGGCAAAGAACAACTTTAAAACATGGATATAAGTGATATTCCGAGAAATTTGCATATTATTGGCACAACAGTTAAAGTTTTGGATATACAAGTGTATTAAACCTATAAAATTTTGATCAACTACGATTGGACAAACACTTTTGCCTGTCTTCAATTCACAATCAATCAATAATGGTTTTGGTTTATAGAAAAAATTCATTTCAGAATTACGAATGTATGAACAAATTGCCAAGGATGGGTAAATAATGTCTTAGAGTAGCTTGCTAGCATCATGTTGCGGACCTAATCCGTTCATATACCAATTCGTTATTTAGACCTATTCTTTTAGTCGCAGGGTCCTATATATGCTTTGCATGTGATGATCTTTTGGGTCAAGTGTGAGAGAAGTAATTTCGGGGGGAAATAAAAATTCGAAGCCTCGGTTGTTCAGGCGTTTAACGTCAAGTGAGAGAGAAGTATAATTGATTAAATTAATATCTCGTGATGGCCAAAGTATCCCTTAAAATCTGGGGACAGTTCCAAATATTAATATAATGATCATTATGGGAGATCAGTTTCTTCAATTCTTTGTCTGGGGTCATATATGTTTCATAAATTAATGGAGAAGCAGAATCTTTTTGAGGGAAGAGAAGGCAGGGTTTTGGCATTACGTGGGCGGTGGTTGCTTACTTGTTTATATATTTGCCTATAGTTAGATTTTTATTTCAGAGTAGATAAATTTGATAATTGATATTAAATTATCTTCTTAATTCACGTAACAACGGTTCAATAATGAAAAATATTTTAGAAATAAACACTGAATCAATATTACATTCGGTCTGTTTAGGTCATGTTTTGTCTGGTCCAAATATTATTTTGATTAATTTTCTTCAGTATTTATAAAATTCATGAGGACTAAGTATTAAACCACGTTATAATTAATTCGTTATGATATGATCCAAGTGTCAATTTAGTCGCATGCGATCCGATATGGAGACCAACCTGTTGCACAGTACCCCTAGTTAACATATATACTATACCATCATTTTATTATTATTATTATATAATTTTATGTATCAAAGTAAATTTTATTTTGTACAATATTATTATATTGGTTTTCTTATAAAAGAATTAAAATGTAAATTAAAACGAATGAGATATAATCCGTCAAATTTTAATAAGGGAATGGTTATCCTAAATTATTGACTGAATATGCTCCTCTGTGGCTTAAAATTTTTATATGATTAAATTAAATGAGCATTCCAAGTAAAACTTATTTGAAGCTGGACTTAAATTTGAGATCTTAGTAGAAGAGTTCAACATTTTAATTTATAGATCAAAATTCTCGTTATTTTTTGGCAACTTTCAAATACTATATGGTTTAGAAATCTATTATCTATATATTACCAAGGAATAAGGATCACGAAGGTGTAAGGCTTAAAGTAAGTGTTGCGACTTTATCTAATACTTAGCTCGTCTTGACATTACTAAAAGATGCCTTGTTGAAATAAAAATAACAATTTATACAAAAGGACAAAAGGAATAATAATGTACAACATAGTGATTTGAACCATGACGTTAACTAATACTTGTTAGCTACAATGAGAAACGAAAACATGTAGCAATGGCAAAAAAAAAAATTCAAGAAAGTCAACGCTTAGCTAAGTAGACAAAGAAATTTTTGAGAGGCCGAGAGGGTGAGGGCAAAATAATTAATTGGATTGGTTTGACTTTTTCCGTATCTAAGAAAACGCTCCCTAGCCAGCTGTATTACTGTTTTGCTTCAAGCAACAGAAATACTAGCCAAGAACATGATTCCTTTTCTTTCTTTCTTTCATTTATTTATTATTATTATTTTTAATGCTTTTCTTTCATTCATCAATGTGACATTATCATAAACATGGTATGTTCAACGGAGTCAATAACTATATAGTGTGGTCATGACGAAGGTGCTGACGGTAAGCTAGCTCTAGCAATCCCTCAGCATTTGAAATTTCTTCTAGCAAAAGTACAAATAGAAGAATAAATTTGTTTTACAGTTATTTATTTTTTATTGATAAAAAAATACATCAAATAATGTCCTCTTTAAACAAATACATGAATCATTAGCAATAACGCTAAACAAATTTAATATATATTTTTAAACTTAAAACATACCAAAACCTTAAACCTTAAAACGAAATGGCATTTCGAACAGCAGTTGCGACACCAAACCACTACTATAAAATATTGCAGCCACTCCATCTCCATCAATCATCATCATGCACCCTTATTTCTTTCTCCCTCATTATCAAAAACACTCTTAGCCATATGCCCCAAACCATGTCCTTCCACATTAATATCATCCTCACCGTTGTCGCCGCAACAACCCTAATCCTCATCTTCTTCAAACATCTGCTCAACAAGGTAACCTCATCAGTATCCTCCAAAGGGACGAAGCTGCTGCTGAATCTCCCGCCGGGGGAGATGGGGCTGCCATGGCTGGGAGAGACGATGGACTTCTACCGATCACAGCGCAACAACCGCCTCTTCGAAGACTTCCTCCGCCCCCGCATCGCCAAGCACGGCAGCATCTTCAAGACGCGGCTGATGGGCTCCCCGACTATCGTGGTCAACGGGGCCGAGGCCAACAGGTTCTTCCTCTCCAACGAGTTCAAGCTGGTGGTGAGCTCGTGGCCGGCCTCGTCGGTCCAGCTGATGGGCGAGAACTCCATCATGGAGGCGAAAGGCCAGCAGCACCGGACCGTAAGGGGCTTGATCGCCACGGCGCTCAGCTACTCGGGGCTGGAGGCGTTGGTGCCCAAGATGTGCAAGCTCGTCCAGTCCAGCCTGGCCGAGCACTGGGATGCAACCACGGAGATCAGCTTGTACCGTTGGACCAAAAACCTGACGTTCGCGATCGTGTTCGAGTGTTTGTTGGGGATGGAGGTGAGACCGGGGATGGTGGAGGTTTTCGAGAGGGTTTTGGAAGGGGTGTTCGAGCCGGCGGTAGGGTTTCCTGGGTCCAAGTTTTCGGGGGCGAAAAGGGCGAGAGGGGAGATCAAGGGGATGCTGGTGGAGGTGGTGAGGGAGAAGAGGAAGGAGCTGGAGGCCGGAGGAGAAGGAGGAGAGGAAGAAGGGCAGCTGATGTGGAGGCTTGTGAAGGCTGTGATGGAAGGGGAGGTGACGGAGGAAGAGGTTGTGGACAACGTGGTGCTGTTGGTGTTTGCCGCGCACGATACGACGTCGTATGCTATTGCTATGACGTTCCGGATGCTGGCTCGGCACCCGGATTGCTACCACCTCGTCTTGCAAGGTACGTACGTTACGTAACAAGTTGAAAAGGATCATTTACTTTTCATTAGTGGTTCATTAGCTAGGGTAGGTATAAGAGATTATTATTATATGATATTTGTAGGGTTGTTAGTTGACCTAATTAGTGATCATGTGCTCGATGATGGTATGGATCAGAGCATATGGAGATAAGGAAGAAGAAGGAGAAGGAGAAGAAAGGAGGAATGGGGAATTTATTGAGTTTGGAGGAGGTGAAGAGGATGAAGTATACATGGGACGTGGCGCGTGAGAGCATGAGGCTGTTCCCTCCCATATTTGGCTCTTTCAGGAAAGCCATTCACGACATTCACTTTGGCGGTTACACTATCCCCAAAGGATGGAAGGTCAGCAACCTAACTATCCCATCTATCTACCTCTTTTTTTCTGCTAGTCTCATTAATATGTTGGTAACATTACAATTCTGAAAACATAAATCATAATTTGCTGATTTATCTCTCATTTAATATTAAAAATTATTGTGCCTAGCTAATATGTGACTACGGATGCTTGTAGATGTGTCAATCCACCTTGTCTTTACGATTGAAATTATTACTGTAAGATAATGAAAAAATTATTATATGATTTAGTTTGGTTGCTTGTTGTTCTTTGACTATCTATTTGCTACTATTATCTATGACAACGACAAAAAACTTGAATTAGACAACACATGACATGAATTGAATGAAACATATTTCTCGAATCTCATATATTCATACCTCTATCTATCTATTTATTTATTATAACAGAATTTCAATTTTCAACGAACTATCTAGTTTCATACGCCAATAGATCATAGAATTGTTATTCTATGATTGCTATTATAGTATACGCTCCTTTCTTGATATTTCATATATTATTCTAGCCATCTTATTTGAGCGGAGACATTTAATTTTTACAGCTATATATATATTCTAATCATCAAATCACATGCTGGTGCAGAGCTAGGTTTGTTGGAATTAATTCTCTACAAATATTATTAGTTAGAATTTAAGCGGGTTTCTTTTTGTTTGATCCATCCGATTCGCAACGGAAACTTAGGGCACATGCAATAAATTAATTAATTTGATTAAATGGCTGACTGGGGATGCCCACAACTACAAGCAGGTGTTGTGGACAGCGTATGGCACACATTACAGCGAGGAGTACTTCGAGGAGGCGATGAGCTTCAAGCCCAGCCGCTTCCAGGACCAGAAATTCCCGCCCTACGCCTACGTCCCGTTCGGAGGAGGGCCGAGGATTTGCGCGGGCAGCCAGCTGGCGAAGCTCAACATCCTGGTGCTGCTTCACTGCGTCGTCACTGCCTACGACTGGTCGCTCGTCTTCCCGGAGGAGCAGATCAGGATGGACCCCTTGCCTTTCCCTTCCCATGGAATGCCCATCCGAGTCTCCCCCAAGTCGCCTTGATTTATTTTTTTTTTTTTTTCATTGCACCATTAATTACTTTTCCTTCCATTATGTTGCTTGCCTTATAAAAGCGAGGCTAATGAAGATCGAAGAGAACTCACACATAACTACTACTCACGTACCCTCACTTTTTCATATGTGATATTTCTATTGCGTTAAATATAATTAATTTGTATATGAAATACCTTTCAATGTGGATATTACAAAAAAATTCGATAGTGTGGATTGGAACTTTCGATAGTACGTACTAGACTTTGTGTTAATTTCAATGCGGACTTATTTGGTTTGTTATTGGCAAAAGAGGTATTGAGACAAGGTGATTCCTTGTCTACATACCTGTTTACATTGTCAATGGAAGTGATGTCAAGTATGCTCAATAGAGCAGTTGACTATAAAATCTTCAAGCTTCACCCTCAAACCTGGAAAATCAGGCTAACGTGTAGAAATCGATAAAGAAAAGCACGAGACACCGATTTACGTGGTTTCCCCGTTCGATACGAACGAGACTAGTCCACGAAGAGCGTGAGCTCTTAGGTTTATTATTGATGATGATTATGATTAGGGTTCGGCAGAGGCTTTACCCTAATATATAACAAAACCATTCTCACACAAGAAAGGACGTGAGATATGGCCAAACTACAAACTGGGATAGCCGATGATAAGACAAGTGGTCTTCGAGAGGGTATGCTGCCGTTGTGTGATGGGCAAGGCCAGGCGCATCAACCTCGTAACCAGCTAGCCTTGTCGATGGTTTACGAACCCTATCGCCTCGGCGAAGAGGCGGAGCAGTGGCTTCAGCAGGGGAAGAGTTAGGCGTGGAGTGGGTGTCCAAAATGGAGGTGGTCGGCACGGGTGAAGAAGGCGTAGTGGAGCCTTGGTCACCTGCTGAAGACCCATTAGAAGGAGTGCATGGCGTCGCGGAACGTATGCATGGGGATGATTGATCATTAGTGGTTGGCGTTGAGGAAGAGCACTCAATGTCAGGAGGTGGAGTGGGTGCCGCAACATGAATAATGGGAGGCTGCTCCTCACATGAAAGTGGCGCAGTAGATGATGGAGAGGAAATAATGGATGGCCGAATGGTAGTGACTGTCGGAGAAGCTGAGTGTTGATAAGGAAAGACACTCTCGAGGAATTTCACGTCCCGAGAAGTATAAATCTTGCGGTGCTCAAGATCAAAAATGCGGTAGCCACGTTGATTGCTGGGATAGCCAACAAATATGCCAGCTCGCCCCCGCGGAGCAAACTTGTCCAAGCCATGATGGTTGTCGCGAGCAAAAGCCAAACAACCGAAACTGCGCAAATGTTGATAAGAAGGGGCCTTGCCGAACATGACCTGATATGGTGAACGATTGCCAATCGGAGAAAGTGGCATGCGATTGAGCAAATAAGCTGCAGTGAGAACGCACTCTCCCCAGAAGGTAAGTGGGAGATTGGCATGAAACCGTAAGGCCCGAGCAGTGTCTAGGAGATGTCTATGCTTGCGTTCAACAACTCCGTTCTGTTGAGGAGTATCTGTGCAGGAGGTTTGCAAGACAATACCACTCTCCTCATAGTATTTCCGTAGCTCCAAAGTAGCAAATTCAGGATCATTGTCGGCCTGAATCCTCCGCACCTGCTTACGATATTGAGTACGCACCATATTGCAGAAAAAGAGTAAGTAGTGCGCAACTTCAGATTTAAATTTCAACAAGAATACCCATACTGCTCGACTAAAATCATCAACCACTGTCAGAAAATAACGAGCACCGGAAAAGGAGGGAACCTGATATCCCCCCCAAATGTCAACATGAATCAGTTCAAAACATTCTTGAGTAGTAATCGAGCTAGATGCAAAAGGGTCTCGAGCTTGCTTAGCTCGCAAACATGAATGACAAGAGTCTTGTTGTTGAATAATGGGACTCGAGATAAAATGCTGAAGAATGGACAACTTCCCAGCAGAAGGATGTCCTAGACGTGAATGCCACAACTCCGAACTGTCAACAGCTTGACGAACTGAATGTGCCACCGGATGCCGTTCATCAAACAGCTGCAAATAATATAATCCATCGACGTGCTTACCCATCCCAATCAGCCTCTTGGTGGGTAAGTCCTGAAGAACACAGAAATCATTCAAGAAAATCAACGCGACCGGGAGATCAGCTGTGAGCCGACTGACAGAGAGTAAATTGCACTGAAATGCTGGAACATGAAGAACTCGGCGAAGCAATAAATCACTTGATAGCTTAGCCGAGCCAATACCCTGTACCGGCACTCCTGTGCCATTTGGAATGCGAACCTGTAACGCTGGTGGTTTCTCCAGCTCATCAAGTAATAAAGACTTATTATTAACGATATGCTCGTTACAACCAGAATCGATAACCCAAGCATGATTAGAACTGATATTCGTACCTGCCATGTTGGATATGGGATCATGAGGGGTCGCTGCACTCGTCAAGGAGTCAGGACCAAGAAGTGAACGCAGCTGAGCAAATTGGGCTGCCGTGAGACCCGGGATGGGGCTGTGCTCCACGTCCACCGCCGCAGCTTGAGGGGAGGATCGCTGCTGCCGCGAGTCGCCGCGATCAGGTCTGCGACGTGGTGGCGGATCACCGGCACCCGAATTGCGCGACGAGGAGCTCTCTCCGTTGCCAGGAGTGCGAGGTGGATAGCCATTCAGTTTGTAACAAGTTTCTCTGAAATGGCCCGATTTGTGACAGTACGTGCAGTAGGGACGGCCCTCCGCATCTCGCTCCCCTTGCTTCACAACGCGATCGGGCTTCTTCTCGCCTTGTGCTTGGAAGACTGCGGCCTCGACTCGAGGACGCCTATTACTGGAGATTTGACGCTGCTGCTCGTCACTACTTACATAATGGTAAGCTTTGGCGAGACTCGGAATTGGTTTCATCGTGAGGATTTGAGTTCTAATTTTATTGAATGGGTCATCTAAACCCATGAGAAAATCGAAGAGTCGCTCACTCTCCTTGGCCTCCCGCTGCCTCCGTTTGACGTCGCAAGTGCAACCTCCACAAGTGCACTCCAAGGATGGCGCAAGTGAAGTGATTTCGTCCCACAAGCCTCGAAGCTTTGTGTAGAACGTGGCGACAGAAGCCTTTTCTTGTTGGAGAAGGCTAATGGTTTTCCGCAGCTCATACATCCGCGGCGCGCTCAATTCCCCAAAACGTGATTGAAGATCAACCCATATGTCTCGGGCTGTTTTGGCGAAACGAACGCTACTCCTCTCATCCTTGGACATCGACGTCTTGAGCCACCCCTTGACCATGGCGTCGCATTGTTTCCATGCAGCATATTCAGCGCCGCCATCAGTAGGTGCCGATATTGTTCCGTCCACGAAGCCAAGCTTGTTCTTGGCTATGAGAGAATCTGTTATGTCGCCCAACCATTCGCCGTAGTTCGACTCCGTGAGTAGCTCCCCCACGAACAATTGGCTGGGGCTGTCCGATTGGTGAATCAGAAAAGGAGACGGCTTTGGAGGCAAGCCTGGAATCAAGCCGCTGCCGTCACTAGAGCTACTCTTCGTAGCTGTGCTGAAATCTCCTTCGATTGTGTCACCCATGATTATACGCTGTAGGGATCAATCACAGCTCTGATACCATGTAGAAATCGATAAAGAAAAGCACGAGACACCGATTTACGTGGTTTCCCCGTTCGATACGAACGAGACTAGTCCACGAAGAGCGTGAGCTCTTAGGTTTATTATTGATGATGATTATGATTAGGGTTCGGCAGAGGCTTTACCCTAATATATAACAAAACCATTCTCACACAAGAAAGGACGTGAGATATGGCCAAACTACAAACTGGTCCCTCAACTTACTAACCACTACAACTAAGTAAGGAGTATGGACCGTAATAAGGGAAAGCGTCATTTATATATCTTTGTGAGGTGCTCCCTCCCGGTCCTTCGACTCCTTTTTTGTCTTAGATCTCCACATCAAAATCTTGGATAAGTAGGATCCATCGGATTAGGCGGGGCTTTCGACCTTGTTCATCAAGAAGCGAATGGCGGAGTGGTCAGTGTAGACAATAACCTTCGAAAGCACAAGGTAATACATGAACTTGTCAAAAGCAAATATTACTGCCAACAACTCTTTTTCACTAGTTGTATAATTCTCCTTAGCATCATTCAATGTCTTGGAAGCATAGCAAATGGGTTGAAAATGCCTACCCCGCCTTTGTCCCAACACTGCTCCCACTGCATAGTAACTAGCATCACACATAAGCTCGAAAGGAAGGCTTTAATCCGGCGAGACCATTATGGGAGTATTCGTGAGCTTCGCCTTGAGGATGTTAAAAGCTTAAAAACATTCCTTTGTGAAAAGTAAAGGAGCATCCTTCTCCAAAAGCTTTGTTTGTGGTAATGCAATCTTTGATAAGTTCTCAATGAAGCATCGATAAAATCTCGCTTGTCCAAGGAAACTCCTGATGCCCTTGACCGTTGTTGGTGGAGGAAGCTTGCTTATTGTTTCAACTATGGCTCGATCCACTTCAATTCCCCTCTTTGAAATTTCGTACCCCAACACAATGCCCTCTCTCACCATGAAATGTGACTTCTCCAAACTCAAAGCCAAATTGGTTTCTTCGCAACGCTCAAGGACCTTCTCCAGGTTGGAAAGACAGTAAGAGAATAATCTTCGAATACCGAGAAGTCATCCATGAACACATACATCACCTCCCCCTTGAGTTTATCAAAGATGGCCACCATGCATCTCTTGAATGTGGCTGGGGCATTGCATAATCCAAACGGAATGCGCTTATAAGCAAATATCCGGAAAGGGTAGGTGAACGTTGTCTTAGTTTGATCTTCTAGGGCGATCGGGATCAAGAAGTACCCCGACATCCCATCCAGGAAACAATAATAATCATGCCCAGCAAGCCTCTCCAGAATCTGATTGATGAAGGGTAACGGGAAATGATCTTTACGAGTGGCATCGTTCAATCGCCGGCATCCAAGAGCTTGCTTACTTTTGCCTTCACTCCCTCCTTCAGGTTAGGATTCACACGCCTTTGCGGTTGACGCACCGGCTTGGCACCTTCCTCCAAGAGGATCTTGTGCGAGAGATAGGTTGGTCTACTCCCTCGGATATCTATGATCTTCCATGCGATTGCCCTCTCGTGACGACGCAAGACCTCAATCAACT